CCTGGGCTACCAAGTGAGTTCCAGGAAAGGCACAAAGCTACACAGAGAAACCCTGTCTCGAAAAACCAAATAAATAAATAAACAAACAAACAAACAAATATTTAAAAAAATTTTAAAAGAAATGCTTGTGCTTAGTGAGGGCCGGAGACACCTGCCGGAGGTGTCCAGAGGGCAGGTACTGCACCTGGCCACAGTAACTGAGTCTCCAGCTCATGTGAGACAGACTGTCAAGACACTGCAGACTCGGGAAACCACCGCTCGCCCCTTGCCTGAGCTCCACTTGGGCCACGCCCTGCAGCTCTCCTCAGCTTTTCTGTACCAGGGAAGCCACTAACTGGGCTTAACTGGGAAGCCACTCAGCCCTGAGCAGGCACAGCCTGGAAATCCAGGGAGCAGAAGCCGGAACTGGAGTCCTAGAGGGATGTCTCAGCTTCCTGCCTTGTGAAGGCTTTCTCTTACTCAGAGAGGTCCCACTGGGCTCAAGTCCAGTTGCCCACAGTGGGAACCAGCTCAGAGAACACCCTGTTGGAGGATCTCGTGTCTGTAGAATGTCCTCCATCAGAATGCGTCTACTGCGTTCCTCATGGTACCCTTCCTTTATTCCTCCCTCCCTGTATTCCAGTAACTAGAGGTCAGCCTGAGGTTCAGACAAGGTCCCATAATGATGCTGGCACTGCCTGGCCATGTGTCTATGGCCAGTCCTGGAGGTCGTTAGTAGACTCTCCTGTGTGTTCTGAACCTGCCACTCGAGGGAATTCTCTGGTCCTAAGAAGTACTGGGAGGTTAGCATCCCTGGAGGACACTTAGATAAGGACAGAGTGGGAACCAGAGGCTAAATCCCCAGCCTCCTTGATCTCTAGCGGAGGTTTCTGGAATGTTCTGTAGCTCCAGTTGCCTGAGTGTAACCCACTCAATAGTTCATATTTTTTAAACCGTGTGTGTGTGTGTGTGTGTGTGTGTGTGTGTGTGTGTGTGTGTGTGTGTGTACCTAGAGCTCGCCAATATAGCTAGGCTGACTCCCTATAGGTCCTGCGGTCCCCTGTCTTCTCCACTGTGATGTGATTACAGGCACATCCCATGGCACCAGGCTTTACGTGCGCACTGGCGATCTGAGCACAGAGCCTCATGCTCGTGTGGCAAGCCCTTTACGACTGAGCCGCCCCGGCCCTGATGATTCTTTTTGTCAGCTCCTTCCTCCGCAGCATCACCACCCCTCTCCTTCCGCCCTAAGACCGTCTCTCAAATAAACGACTTGGACCCAGATCCTTTCTCTAGGGTCTCTTGTTTGGGAAACACCTCACAGGCGGGCCTTTGTGTGTCACAGAACCTCCAGGGACACACAAAGTTCTCAGGTGTCGGTGTGATCAGAGGTAATGGTCCGCTTCCCATTAGGACATTGCTTATCAACCTCTCCGATTAATCGGTCCATCCACCAGCGATTATTGCCTGAATCAATATTTTATTAAGGGATATAAAAAAAAGTGGTTTTCTAATCCTATCAATCCTTCTGCTTTTATTAGCTGGGATCTTTATATATATGTATATATAAAGAACTTTCCCTCATAAGCCAGGACTTTCAAGTTGAGATGAAATAGTAGAGGGATGACAGGCTACAGGCCTGATTCTTTCCTTCCTCGTTGCTAATTCTCAGGATGAGGAACTATGCCCTAGTTCCTTCCAGTGGTATTTATAATGATATCTGATGGGTTTGGGGCTCCCTCCCCCCTGTTTCTATCAGTGTTGTTCTGATTTGAACCTGATATGTCCCCCAAGGCTCCTGTTTTGAGTGCTTGCTTCCTGGCTGGGGGCTCAACTTTGGGGGGCAGTGGAGTCTTTAGAAGGGAAGGCCTACCGGATAGAAATAGGTCACCGGAGACCCAGGAAGATGGCTCAGTCCGTAAAATGCTTGTCTTGCCAGCATGAGGGCCCAAGTTCAGTCCCCATGTACAGAGGTCTGGGACGGTGACACACACTTGTAGTCCCAGTGTTGGGGAGGCAGAGACAGGTGGACTCCGCTGGCCAACCAGCCTAGAATAATTCATAAGGTCCAGGTCGGGGAAAGAATCTGTCTCAAAAGACAAGCTGGATGGCTCCCGCGCAATGTCATTTGGCTTCACATGCGTCATGTGTCATGTACCCCACCTGCCGTGGACCTTCTCACGTGTGAACTCACAAAGAGAGGAGGAGGAGCTGGAAGGGTGGCCCATATTATAGAGCACTGGCCAGGAAGACCCGACCGCCCCAAGTCTGATCCCTGCAACCCAGTGTCCGACGGAGCTTTCTGTTGCTGTGATAACAGCATCACGAAGCAACTTAGAGAGGAAAGGTATGGCTCCTGTGTTCCAATCACAGTGGCTCACTGATGGAAGTCAGTGCAGGAACCCTGGAAGAATGATGATTACCTGAGAAGGTCCATGGGGTGGGGTGGGGTACACGTGATGTGCGGGGGTGGGCGTGCAAAGCCAAAGCTTGCTCAGCCTGCTTTCTTACACAACCCAAGACCACCTGTCCAGGTGTGGCACCACCCACAGTGGTGAGCTGAGCCCTCCCACACCGATCACCAATCAAGAACATGTCCCACGGACTTGTCTACGGGCCCACCTGATGGAGACAATTCACCTGAGGCTCCCTCTTCTCATGTGACCTTAGTCTGTGGGAAGGTGACATAACTAACCAATACTCCAAGTGACGGTGGAGGAGGAGAACTGACCCCACAGAATTGCCCTCTGACCTTCCCACACATATACACAGACACATCACACCCGCAACAGTAATAATAATTAATAATAACAATAAATGTTTAGAAAGAGGAGGAGGTCACCAGGACCAGGCCTTGAAGGTTAAGTCCACCCTTGGCTCTGACCGCCTCTGCTTCCTGGCCAGCAGCGATGTGAACAGGTACCACACAGGTTCCTGCCACCATGGGCTCAGCCATTCCTCCGTGACTTTTTTATTATGATGGACTGTAACCTTCTAAAACAAGGGGTCAAACTAGATCTTTCTTCTCACAGATTGTTTCTGCCAAGTGTTTTGTCACGTCAACCCAGAAGGAACTAATACACATGTGAGCAGACGATTATTTACATGTTCAATGAACTTGAATCGCTCTTACCTTTCCCCAGTGGGCATCCCGACCCTCAGGTCCTTTGTCCCTCCCCAGTGGGCATCCCTGCCCTCAGGTCCTTTGTCCCTCCCCAGTGGGCATCCCTGCCCTCAGGTCCTTTGTCCCTACCCAGTGGGCATCCTGACCCTCAGGTCCTTTGTCCCTCACATGTGTTTGTCAACCTTGACCAGTGTCCTCACTTTCTGGCCCACTGAGGTTCCTCAGGCTTCCATACCCTATTTCCTGGACCAGCCCTGGACTCAGCCATTCCTCCAAGGAGCCCTGGTGTTTGGAGAACACCCTGACCCAGGCTGCACTCAGTGACTCGATTTTTACTGCTTCTGAAGGTTGTGGGTAGATGGAGACAGCAAATCCATACTTCCAACAGAAAAACCCAAAGAATGGTACGTGCCTGCTGATCTCTCCAAGTCAAATATAACATTTCAAGGTTTTATTTAGTCTCTTTGATCTTTTCCCCAGACCTCCTTTCTCACATACTGACGATCTTAGATTTCAGCATTAGCATAATTACTTATTTATATTACCCTGCGATTTTTTTTTATAAAAGTTTCAAAAATAGCGACAATATTTTTTTTCTCTTACAGTAAGACTTTCAAATGAAGTTTTAAGACTCCGTTGGAGCTCTTCTTCTCTTCAGAAGCATTTCTTTAAGGACGTACGGTCTACAGGCTGTGAGGTAAAGCCCCTCAAGCCAGATAGTTGCTCTGAGTGATTACATCACCCGCTCACTGTACATTTACGGTCTTCCATTTCAGAGTGTCTTCAGATGATAGAGGTTGCTTTTTTCCCCCCTCCTTCCCTTTTGATTTAATGTTATTTTGAATCTATTAAATATTTATATGATTCCAAAGTCAGAACCACATAAAAGTATCTAGAGAGTTCCATTTCCATCACACTCTCGCTACCCTGTTCCTTCCCCTGTAAGTAATCATTTTTTATTGCTTTCTGCTTAGCTGTTTCTCCTGACAGAGCTTTTTTCTTGCAAATATAAACCATTTGTGTACACATTTATACCCCTCTGCTATGGGTTGGATCTCAAACGTTCCTCAAAGGCTGGTGTTTTAAAGACTTGGTCCCCGGCAGATGGTACAGGGTGTGTGGGACCATTTGGAGGTGGAGCCTACTGGAAGGAAGTTAGGTTATTGGGGACCTTGGAACCCTGGTCCTTTCTTCTCTCAGTCTACAGGCTCCCACAAGGCAAACAGCTGTAGGCTCCACAGACATTCTCTACTGTAATGTTCTGTCACAGGCTTGTCACAGGCTCTCACAACAGGGCCAAGCAGCCATAGACGCACATCTGAGTTATGACCCCAAATGAACCTTTCTTTCCTCGAAGTTTTTTTGTCTCGGGTATTTTGTCACAGTGGTGGAAAGCTGGCGTTCTGCTTCCCCGCTGTTCTGCAAGGACAGTATGCTATGTACCCAGCCCTGAACTGATGCTTTTCCTCTTCCCAACACATCCTGGAAGCCACCGCATCACACTGCGTCTCCCAGGTCCCTTCTCAATGTACTTCAGCAATCAGGTAATCTCCTAATGGTGAGCATTTCGATTATTTACAATTTTTTGCTGTTTCAATTAATGCAGGACAAGCAAGCAAGTTGTTTTGGTATTGTTTTCCCAGTGACCCTTCAGTTGAGAACACTGGATGTAGGGTTACTGGGTCAAAGGGAAAATGCATTCACAATACTGTCTCTCTCTTTTAGAAAGTTTTAAGCTTCCCTCGAAATGAGTTGTACTATTTTACATTTGCACCAGCAACCACTTTTAGCCATTCATTCAATAAACACATATCATATATCTACTAAGTGCCAGGCACTTGTTTATTTCCCAAAGGTACATTAGTGAAAAAGACAGACATGATCCTTTCACTAAAGATCTCAGTGTGGGGAGGAAGTTCAAATCAACAGATAACCACACAAATAGTCACATATTCATTAAGAAGAAGCATCACCTCTTTTTACAGTTCACAGTGAGAAGCTGGGTGTAGTGGTACATGCCTGTAGTCTCAGCACTTGGGATGTGAAGACAGGTAGACCAGATGTTCGAGGCTGACCTCAGTGTCCTGAGTAGTTCTAGCTGTCAACCTGACAGAGCCTAGAGTCATCCAAGAAGGGGGTCTCAAGCCAGGGCTTACTCAGATCAGACTGGCCAGTGGGCACGTCTGAGGGAGATTATCTTGATTTTTGATTAAGGTGAGGGCCCAGCCCACTGTGGCAGCAAAGGAGACACCACTATAAAGAAGGTGTTTTTCCCAGAGTGAGGCTCCTCCATCACATTCAGGGTGTCCAGACCCCTTGAATTTCTTCAAATTTGGGAAATGCAAAAGTATAATTTGTGGCAGTGGAGAACTGTCTTAGCTTCCCCCTTTAAAAAATTTTCAAAGAAAACAAATCAGAAATTTAAATAATCACATTAATTAAAATGGAAATGCTTTATCATATGAAACCTATAGAATTTATAGGAGTGATCAGTATTCAGAAGTTAATTTGCATCTTCAAATTATTTCACTATAAAAAATGCTGAAAATAGCCGGGCGGTGGTGGCGCACGCCTTTAATCCCAGCACTCGGGAGGCAGAGCCAGGCGGATCTCTGTGAGTTCGAGGCCAGCCTG